AAAACCTTTATTACGCATGTATCGTAGCAATGATCTGTGTGTTAAAATTATATCTGGAACGTGTTTAACCAGTTCTATCACGTATGTGATAATGACTGACACTAATATTGTCCTTTAAGTATAGAATGAATAAAAACAAGAAAATCTATGCACTATTTCTATTTTCTCGTTGTCTCGTTGTCCCTTATCAAGTGATATTCAGTTACTTTTTTGAATTATCAGATATCCTCTCACAGCCTCACATGACAACTTTTGATCTTCGAAAGAAATATTAGTGAGCAGAAATTCGCCCGTGTATCTGTTATCACTCGTCACTTCAATCAGTTACATAGAAGGACAACTGGTGTTTTCCTTTTGCTTTTTTCACTTCCCTTAATTAAAATCTTAATAATGTGTCTATCGTAGCAATGATCTCTGTGTTAAAATTATATGTGGAACGTGTTTAATCAGTTCTATCACATATGTGTTTCACACAAAGTAACAGTTGGGACACTTCCCTCTTACGGCAAGGGCCTTTTTTTTAAAGATGCAAAATCCCCAATTCCACATCAGTCAGTTGCAAAGTTATTGACCTTCAAATAGCTCTACAGATAATAGACATTAAGATTTGACTGTCAACGTGGGCTTATTTGAATACTTAACGACATGAACCATATTGGAAATGAGAGGAGAAAGGGTCGTTGCAAACCTTAACTGATATCTTACAAATAAAACCGGTACCTGATTGTCTCTAATACCCCCACAACGGACACACGGAAGTACAGCGATGGGCAAAAATTATTGTCACACTATTTAAGACGGAGCCATATTTTGCACAGGTCCGACCAGCAAGGAAGCCAATGTAGCTTAGAGAGTTAGACGTTGCCTCGCAAACACGGAGGTGCCGTGTTTGATCTCTACGTAGGTCTAGAAAGTTAATCGGCATTTTGCGGCGTGGTTCCCCCTTGTCAGTGGTGCAGGTCAGTGGGTCTGACAAGGGGGACAACCTATAGTCGTTCGGATGGGATGAAAAACCGAGGACTCATGCACACATTGGCGTGCACGTAGAAGATTCCTATATGAGTAGGTCGTAGCACCGCTGTCTGAGCAGGATGCGGCGTGGTTCCCCCTTGTCAGTGGTGCAGGTCAGAGGGTCTGACAAGGGGGACAACCTATAGTCGTTCGGATGGGATGAAAAACCGAGGACCCATGCACACATTGGCGTGCACGTAGAAGATTCCTATATGAGTAGGTCGTAGCACCGCTGTCTGAGCAGGATGTTCCTCCTGTATGGTATTATATGTTCAGTCAGAGCAGAACAGTAGGACGTTAAACCCATTTCACTTTCGACCAGCAATTTGTGATAAAGATAATTTTTAAGTAGCATTTAGCCATTAACACAACACATTATTTGAGGGGAAACACATTAACCGAACAAAATGTTTATGGGAAATAATCTCTGGTTGCAGGATAACGACAGGAGGATACTGTCTTTTCGAAACGTGATTTTAAGTCATTGTGCTTGATAACTTGTGCTTTTGGAATATAACCTATGATTGTTTCCCATAAAATTGTGTTCTGTTTTTGTGATAAAGACTTCACAAAACAGAGGTATTACACTGACTTCCGGAATTAAATCGCTCGAATGCATTCTGAGGTTAAAGGATAAAAAGAAGATGGAAGTAACTTAAGTTACTGTAAATGATGCCATAAATCAATTCTGCCCTTATCTTAAAATACTAAACACAATGTAGTGTAAACGAATATTAACTTACAAAACTAACAGTACCAGTCGTTACTCTCAGGTCATAAATATCACACATTATTTTCTTGGCTGCGAGCTAATCGCCTTTTCCTACACACAAAGCTGTTAAAACCCGAGGTGTAAAAATATGTTTTACAAATTATTTTATTTCAAACCTCTATTCTTTGGAATCTAAAATGCAATATGAATGTATATAAACTGATTAATCTGCCCAAAATTCGTTTAAATCTGTTCAGTATTACAAAGATATTATGAACAATTGAAAATTTTGTAACATATATATTGCAGACGATAAAAACGAGGCATGGCCAGTGGCAGACACAGGACATTTGAGTCGGAAGACGTGGGGTTTGTGGTAGGGGGCGGAGAGGGGGGCGCCCGAGAATCGTTTTGAGAAATCGGGGAGTCAAAATCGCCAATGGGGAATTGTGGGGCATATCTGGGCCCGAATATAACATTTAAGTTCATTACCTACAACGGCACTAGCCCTAGTATTCAGAATGAGAGAAAGGATAAATATGTAAGATCAGATTGAATTATTCAATTTCAGTAGGGTAGCTTGTACTACAAAGTTAACAGCACTAACTTCAAATTTATATATATAAAAAAACTTAATTTAATTTCACTCTTGGGGTATTTATAAATTCTAAAAATCGGTCTTCATTTGCATATGAAAGCAAACAAGATATAAATTCATTCCATCAATACTCACGGTTGTACAATCAAATATCAATAAATAAAACAGAGGAATATTTTATTTATTGTTATGAAATGTACAGTATGCCTGATTACTATCGTTTGTACAAACATGATCAGGATCTGTGTCAGAGAAGTATGATAATCAGTTTGATTACTCGATACTTTTGAAAAAGATAAATGTGCAATTAATATGTGTCATCTGTTGTTTTTTGGGGATTTTTTTGGGGGGGGGGGGGGGCGGGCCGGGGGGGGGGGGGGATTTCGGCGGGGGACTTCAGCCTCACCGTTGGCTTGTATGTATTTTTAAATTAGTCTGTGCAGAAAAAATACCCGCAATAAGCCATTCCGCGAGCGTAAACAATAACTCGATCCAGTCCGAAGCCTACAGGGATGTTATAAACTTCAAATAGATAACTAGATAATGTAATGACACTAAACAACTTAATTCTATCTGAAATGAGATTATTACCAGGAATGTTATAACTTTAAAGTAGCTATAACACAATACAATTAATATTACCTGGCCCCAAGTTCACAAAACATTCTCAGACTTCAAGTTAAGAATTTACTCAACTTTCAATTATTCTTTATGAAAAATATCTTTGATCCAGAAACACAATAGATTGTCATCTTTTATCTTGTCAATAATATGATTGGCATCAATACAAAAAAATGTATTATTTAAATGTTGAGTATGCCGAACAGGTCATCCATAGTTATGGGTCATTCCATATAAACTGGACCATTGGTGGGAACATGACCCCTCCAAAAAAATCATAGAAAATATATGTTATAGTATATGGCCTTAAAGTAAGGTTGGAAACTCGCTGAGATATGGCCATTTGAAATTAGGACACTGAAACGGATCATAAATTCAGTTGTTTTTTTCAGGTTTTCGGATGCTTTAAAGTAGCTAAGTCTCTAACTCAATATCATCAAAAATCTTCGACATTGAAAACACGAATTTTGTCTATTCAAATCAACATTGGTCTTGTGATCTTACATGGAAAAGATGGGCTTCTGATATCCAATATTCAAGACAAAATAAACATTTTACCATTGGTACACGAATGTACCATAATGCGTTTTAGCGCCATTTGGAACAAGGGACTCAAAGAACAGGGCTAGACATATTCCACAAGTCATGTCAAATGGTGACACTATATTCTTTTTTGGAGAGCATGCGCAATAAATACCATCGGTGTAGACTGGAAAAACCAGACGCTAAAGATTGCCATTCACATGAGACTTCTGGCGTATTTCGCCGAACATAACTGATTATAAATTACAGTAAAAACAGAAACGATTGAATGTAAATCAGTTTATATACATTCATATTACATTTTTTTTTGTCGACGGGATATATGCTTTTCGACCTAGAGAGGAATAATTTTGGATTTGTTTGCTTAAGTCCATGTACAATAACATATATTTTTTATAATTTTTTTGGAGGGGGTCATGTTCCTAACTTTCAGAAATTAGGTCCACTTGACATGGAATGACCCTTATAGTTAATAGATTCTAAAATTTCTTTAAAAGATTTGGCTTTATGTTATGTTCTGAAGATTCTGTATCTGTAGTAAACTTGTTCAATCTTATCAGTCTGAAATCGACCTCCTCGTACCCCCCCCCCCCCCCCAAAAAAAAACAACAACTTCAAATAGACAACAATACCCACCATCTATAATGTCTTCAATCACTTCGGTACAATTATCATTTTTCATTAGTTTTGTGTTTCGTTGAATTTAGCACGTGCAACGCCAAAACATGAATCCTTCATTCTTTACTCTCGATGACTCTTCTCTTCCTTCGAATTTCATTAACATTTTTTTAACACTGTTGCTGTTACAGATTGTGTAACTTTCAGGTTATTTATTGCGACCTGATCAGGCTGTATAATTGAATTGTAAGTATCTATTTCATCTAAAAGCGCTTGAAGATTACGCTCTTCTTCTAATTCAGAACAAACCGCACCAATAATCATTTCAGACATTTCAAAGCGTAACAAAAATTGGAGTAAAATTAACTAGGAAATATATTTATAATAAATTTACCAAAAACCCAGATGAATAAAATAGGATATACATTGATCATAAAGTATATTTTTGATTCTAAACAGTAGTTATTAGTGTAGTGCTATTTGAGAGCTCGTATAATCGGTGCTAAAACGCAGGTAATTTTGGATGAAATTATTTGTAACAAATTGTAAACGTAAATGCCGCGCAGTCCAACATTTGGCGAAGATTGAGCTTCAACTTTCCCGTTAGAATATTCCCGTATTAAAGCTGTACTCCGATTACAAAACTACAGAAATAATTTCAACTACCACACGCTCGACTGGTTGTTTTTTTGTTTTTTTTTTCACTATCAGCTTTCTGAAAACATTATTGCTAAACAATTATTATATCTGATCAAGTATGTATTATTTTACTAATTAGATGAAATATGCCGACCACGGTATACCTTTGCTCTAACAAAACTGTCTTACCCCAAACAATAACCATGCAAACGCCATTTAATTCTTATTTCGCACAACAACGTAGAAACAACAAATACATTTCTGCATCAATTTTTAATAACAATATTAGTGTTGTTTATATACAGTAAATATTTAGCAACATATGGCCACGGTTACAATAATACATGTATGTTATAAATCCAGACCAGCTGCAATATTTAAAACGAAAAACCAGAATACTTATTATAAATCACAATTATGCAACATTATTAGGAGTGTATTATTTTCCGTCTTATAGGCACACGTACAATGTAGGATTTGGAGCCAATTGTTAATTGAGGGATTTTGAATCCCATTCGAACTGCAATATTGTGAAAGTTGAATCCTTGTTAGCAATATCAGGCTAGAACTATTTCTAGCGAGGAATTAACGTCCACTGTTACCGACGGTGATGTCGCAATGACATAATTCCGTTCGTTATTTATAAAGACATGACGAATTTCACAACTTTCAGCATTCTCTGTAGACCATGCACAAGCCTGGGTCACCTTTTTTTGTTGAGTTAAATATTTTGATGGATTTCTAAATTTTTCCGAACAATACAGGATCGGAATTTGTAACGTTAATCATGAAAAATTTGTTATAATAAGTTATAAGTAACCTAACTAAGTAAACATATATTCAACATATTAATATAATTAAAATCAATATTTCCTTTAAAGTGCCATTGGCCACAAAAATAATTATAATCTTTGTAATTTGTCATCTTTAGTCGACTGCATCTCACTAAGCATAGATATTTTTTTTAAATTGGACACGTTTTTCAAGAATAATACAGCCTTTATAATCCAGACAACTGTCGAGTTCAAGTTGAAAGAAGAATAAGTATTAACAATAACGAATTAAAGAATATATGGAAATCCAATTTTTGTTATGAGTAATAATTTGGTATTTCAAGGTTTGACAAAACCCTTTTAAAATACGAGCGTATAGTAGGAGTCCTGAAAATCAACTACAGGAATATAATTACAATAATTAGCTAATGTGTCGTATATTACTTTACAAAACCATAAATAAACAGCAACGGGTTAATCAATATATAATATATAAAAGTTATATTTATAGCGTACGGCTTTCATGAGTTAACAGGTTTAACCAGAGGCCGCAGGCCGAGGAATTAAACCTGTTAACGAATGAAGCGTGCTATAAATGACATGTAACATTGACAACTGCTCGATATGCTTATAAGTTATTGCACAGAAAACCCACCCCACTTCTCTATATGATTTCTACTAAAACTAGTGTAAACCAGCAAAAGTGTGCATTAACATTGAACATGTCTAATTATTGCACGGTTAAGCTCCATCCAATCTACTAGAGGAAAAACGATCTGCTTATTCAACCAAAAGAACAAAGGAAGGTTTCCCATCCATGTTAAAAGAAGATTTCATGGATTATTTTACTCAAAGAAGAATGAAAAAGGCTGCATTTGTTGGTGAACAGTCTCGATTGCATTATTCAGAGTGCATTATGAACTGATGAATCAAGACTATAACCTCGTTCACATTCCACTTTAAAGCGTGCCAGGAACAATTTCGACCGAAGTTTAGCAATGGGCCAGAATTGTAACACTATTTAAGGCTGAGCCATCCTTTGCACAGGTCGGACCATCAAGGGAGCTAAGGTAGCTTGGTGAGTTAGACGTTGACTCGCTAACCCAGAGGTCCCGTGTTCGATCCTTGCGTAGGCCTAGAAATTCCATAGTAATTTTCCGCCGTGCACGTAGAAAATCCCTTGGTATGTCCGTCTTCATTGGTTCGACCAGCAATTTGTGATAAAGATAGTCTTGAAGTAGCATTTAGCGATTGGGAAACCTATTAACAGAACACATTGTTTGTGGGAAAACACATTAACAGAACAAAATGTTTATGGGGAACAATCACTGGTTTTATTCTAAAAGCACGAAGTCATTGGCTTGATAACGGCAAGAGGATACCGTCTTGTCGAATAGAAACGTGATTTTACATCATTGAGCTTAATAACTTGTGCTTGATAACGATAAGATGATACTTGTCGAAACGTCGTGCTTTTGGAATAAAACCAGACATTGTTTCCAATAAAAATTGTGTTCTGTTATTATGATAAAAACTTATTTAACAAAAACATAAAATAGTGGTATTGCACTGACATCAGAAATTAAATCACTCGAATATATTTCTGAGATTAAAACAATCTGATTAAAACACAGGTTCTATTTCGTTTCGTTCAAAATTTCGTTTTACTTATCTTTACTACACTAGGATCTGGAAGAGTTGTTATATAACCCGAGTTCTGGGTGATGTGAGGGATTAGCCTATGAAACGGTCTGTTACGGCGAGTTTTTGGCGTGAGGTGCACGGATCTGTGGGTAACCCACTAGAGGTGCACGCTGATTGATTAATCAAATGCCTGACGTCAAAGGGTCAAAAGTCACTCGTATGAACCTGACGCGACCTTCCGCTACAACCGGTCAGATTTTAATGTAGTAGAGGCCATCGAAAGTATATGAATAAAAAACCGAAACGAAATATAGATCTGTATTTTAATCAGATTGAGGTTTAAAAGGACAAAAAGAAGATGGAAGTAACTGAATTTGCTGTGAATGATGCCATAAATCAATGCCGCCCTTGTCTTAAAATACCAAACACGATGTAGTGTATACGAATACCGACTTACAAAAATAACAGTACCAGTCGTTACACGCATGTCATAAATATCATTCAGTCTTGTATTGGCTGCGAGCTAATCGCCTTTTCCTACACACAAATCTGTTAAAATACTAGGTGTAAAAATATGTTTCATACATTATTTCATTTGAAAAGTAGTCTTTACATCTAAAGGAGATAAGCCCCATTCTTTGGAATATGAATGTATATAAACTGATTTATCAGTCCAAAATCGTTAAATTCTGTTCAATTTTTACAAAGATATTGCGAAGTGCGAACAATTGAAAATTTTGCAACATATTGCAGACGATAAAAACGAGACATGGTCAGTCGCAGATAAGAGCATATTTGTTTAGAAAGAAGTGGGGTTTGTGTGCGTGACGGGGGGGGGGGGGGGTCATCCGAAAATAATTAATCGCCAATGGTGGATTGTGGCGCATATCTGTAGCCGAATATAAATTCAAGTTCATTAGCTATAATGGCACTAGGCCTATAGTATTCAGGGATCTGAGAATGGATTAATATTAAGACCAGATTGAATTGTTTAAATTACGTAGGGTAATAAAATAATAATAATAATAATAATAATAATAATCCTCTTATATAGCGCTGGAATTCCAACCAAGAAGCTGCTCATTGGCGCAAATTACAGTGTCATTAAAGTCATTAATAGAATGATTGTCGGAATAGTTCTGTTTTTAATTCCTTTTAAATGATTTTATATTGTCACTTTTTCTTATTCTTTGTACTGCAAAGTTAACAGCCATAATTTCAAATTTAATAAAAAATTATAATTTAATTTCAGTCTTTGAAAATGGCCTTGTTGGAACATCTAAATATCGATCGATCTTCATTTGCATATGAAAGCTAACAAGATTGTAAATTAATTCCATCAATATTAACGGTCGTACAATCAAATATCAATGAATAAAACAGTGAAATATTTTATTTATTATTATTAAGTGTACAATATGCCTGGCTTATATCGTTTGTACAAGTCTGATCAGGTTCTGTGTCATAGAAGTATGTAGTGCCAGGACAGACACCTGGGAACTGGTCACTATTTACGCACCGCATATATTCTGTACAGGAACCTCTTACAGGAATATAGGAAAAGTTGATTTTTCCATTACAACTGTATGGATCACTTGCTAAAATAATAAAACATATCTTTGTGTAAATAATTATAAAAGCACAAGTCAAGAATATAATTTATCGTTATTTAATAATTAATTGTTATTTAAATTAGTATACATAACTAATAATTTGAAAAAATCATTGTTATCAGTACATGTATAGATGGCTTGTAAATTATCCTATCATGTTGTAGACACTGTATCGAGGTCATATTTAGATTCTGTTAATTTTGTCTACTTTGGTCATAGGGTGCATTGTGTCAGAAGAGATGTTTGTCCGGGCAGAAATCCAAGAGCAAAGATTTCGTTCACGGTTAGCAAGAAGTTAGCAAAGTATTAAATTTAGATTTACAAAAAGAAGGGCAGAGAAATTGTAAACACTCACCTTGACTTGGATCTATTGTTGTGGTAGCTGTAATATATAAGATATCAAAAAATGCAATTACAATACTGCTAGTGTTATTGATCATAATAATGATAGTTGCCTTAGCCAGTGAATTTTTCTTCCTGCCGCGGGAGGGGGGGGGGGGGTCGTTATAGAAATACTCCAAATAACCGCACAATATCCAACTGTTCGTGGGACTGTGTTGGTGTTTGAATTTTTGTTTTGGGGCGGAGAGGGGGGGGGGCGCAGGGGGCAGATCGCTTGACCCCATTCCATTACATTGTGAAACTGCTCGAAATATTATATTCATAATCCAAGGCTTGGGCCAATCTGTTTTACAGCGGTAATGCAAAGGCGAATAACCACTGCTGATGATCAGATCAACAGAATATAAATATTAATTGGCGTAACAGTAAATATATACATCAAACAGGAATCTGCACTTGTCTTCAAAAAAAAAGACCAATGTTCCGATCTGGTGCTCAATCTTTAAATGGAGCAGGCAGGGGCGACACTAAACGAGTTCATAATGATGGTTGCCGGGTAGAAATGTCACATTTCTAAATTTGTTAGATGTTCATGCTAAACATATAAAGAGTCAATGAGGAAGACATTTTCCTTCTTAATAATAGAAATAAGATGAAATAGTATTAAAATTTACGCTGAACAAATAAAGAAATTGGATTATACATTGTTTTGAATCTAATCATATACCGCCATAGAAAACGGGATCTAAAAATTGCAAATAAAGAGTGACCAGAAATGATTATCTTATGACTATTTAATATCATGAATAGAAAAGTTTATAGACATTTATTTACTTTATATACCTTTATTTGACCTTTTTTCTTAGAATTTTTCCAGAAATAAACCCACAACTGAACTAAAAAGTGCAATTTGTTATTTCCATTCCATAATATGTCCGTAGCGCCTCCATCTCCTATGTATCTGCCCCTTGTGCTTAAAGTTAACATATTAATTAATAGGTCTATAGATCTACATTAATACTTACGTGCGGCTCTGGAACAAGATTTGGCTTGTTCATCAAAACAAAAAGCACCACTTTTACCACAGTTGCTGATATAAACTGTACCACCACCACACGACACATATAAGTAACAATCATCATAGGGATGATCATATATACCATCAGTTCTATTATTACAATAATCAGCTGTAATATATAAACATTAATAATTTAGATAACATTTCAGGCCTAAAGAAAGGCCTGAAATAGGCAGATTTAGTTCTTAAATAATGTATGTTTAAGTAAATTGGCGGTGTAGTGTGTCTTAATGTTGTTTTCATGTGATTAGAGGCATTAAAACTAAAGGTTCTGCTTGATATCATTATTTTTCTTGTTTTTCAGCATTATTCAAATCTTGCCTGGGTTTCTGATTTTTATATCTAGTCTAATTATTTGAAACACATGTCTAGAGCTTACCTGATCCCTTGTATATCTTTCGTTTATTTTCTAATTATATTTATGCGTGGGTTATAAACAAACAAATCTAGCGTTTTGTTTAAAACATAAAGTTCTATAGCTCAAGTTCTATACAGCCTACTTGATCCCTATTATATCTTTCGTTTGTTTTCTAATTTATGCGTGGGTTATAATTTTAACAATCAAATCTGGCGTTATGTTTAAACGACATCTAGTAATTGAACACATAACACTGTAATTTAATCGGAGCTTCTTTTCAATTGTGATTCTCTTATAGTTTTTAATGCCGTAATCCAATGTACAATTTAAACGGTATTTAGTAGATGTGGGTATAAACATAATCCCAACTATTCTATGGAAAACAATTACATATTTAAATCTGACCTACATCTCAACTATGGATACAATAATTTTACTGAAATCTAATCATGCATGTAAGCCTATTTTTTGGAACAAGAAAAGCACCAATCTGCTTATATTTTATAATACCTCAACACTAGAAAACAGTAATTTAAAGAAGAAAAATGAAGATTCTTACACGGTACAACAAATAGATGTTTACAAGTTGATGTTCGTCTGCTTCCTTGATCAACATTACAGCATAAACTAGAATTATGCCAGCTTATATTAAATGTTGAAATAAAAGATGAAACGTGTTTATTGGTACAAGATTCTGAAGAATTTGTTTTTTCTGTAGGGTTAAAATTAAAATTCTGAAACTGTTGGCCATCTTGGAACTCTACAGACCATGTTACCATAGAAGCCGGTATGCCAGCGTCCACTGAACACGTGATGTTCTGTCTTAATATTCGGTTCTCCACTATCTGATCAGGAAACGCTATTACTGGTTCCCCTGGAGCAACTATAAAATAAACAACAGATATATTTAATTATTTATTGTTATAATGAAGTTATTTGGAAGTTTAACCGTTCAATTTCATAATTGAACAAACAAACCAACTTTCTAGTATACGTGTATATACGTGTATTATACAGTGGTAGCTTAATACATACCTCTTACTTCTATTGTAGCTGTTTGTTGTACAACACCCCAATCACCACCAATACTACATGTATAATTACCGGAATGAGTACAATTTGGTTCTTCTAATGTCATTAAATATATTTGTTTATCTGAATTACTTTCGTTTCTAAAAGTCCACTGAGGTTCTATCTCGGTTTGATCCCTTGTAATCATTCCAGCTTCTACACCATTGACATCAAATATAATTTGTGTAAAGTTTTCGGTGTTAGTTATGTTGCATCCTAGGGTTAGGTTGTCCTCATTTTGATAGATCAGTGTGTCTCTGACAGTGATGACTAAAAGAGAAAAGATAAATAAAACGTGATACTCTAACATAAAGACATAAATGATTTGCATAATGGAATATGTGTGCTAGGACTGAGTTCAAGGTATGTGTTTCTAGTTCGTCCACTGTCGGTTTCTGGCAATTCTGTGTTATTCTATCCGAGCAAATGACAGCAAAGCCTTTCATAACATTTCGCAGAAGTTTCGGTATGAATATTGTTAATTTGTAGGTTGATCTGGATTCGACGAATTAAATCTGCATATATTTGAAGAGCGATAGAAATGCATTTAGACCAAGATGAAGTGTAGTAAACAACCGAAGAGAACGAAATATTGGTAAGAGTTTTAATTAGACTGAATATGATAAACTATAGTCAATAATAATTACCTGGTATGAAGGTTGATGACATCTCTATATCTTGGGTTGATGATGGGCTTAATGATGGTGATGGTGTTACTGCTATTTCAGAAGTAGAAATTACCGAAGATATTTCAGTAGTCGCTATTACATTCACACTTGATTCAGATGTTTGCATTCCGAGTGTAGTTGCTATCAAGGAACTTGCTAGTTCGGCTGTTGTGATTGGTGATTCCGTTGAGAAGGCACTGGGTTTTATTTCAGCTGTACTAATTAACATATCAGTAGTACTAGGTTCTGTGATGCTAGAAGTTAACGTATTTGAGCTTGGAACTAACATACTTGACAAGGGTGATAAGATGCTGGATGATACTTCAATAAAATCGGATTCTAAACTCCCAGTCAATGCTTCAGTCGAAGTACCAGATGTTACTTCAGTTGGGCTTATTACCAGTGTGCTATATTGTATCTCATTTGAGCTTGGTTGTAGCGTGTAAGGTAGTGATAAAGATGGTATTGGTAATTGTGTGCTGGACAGTACTGTGTTTGACATTGATTCTAGTGTACTGCTGTATGTGACACTGACACCAAAGTCGAACTCGTCGGATATAGATGCTAGACTATCGGACGATTCTTCACTTGTCTGTAGCGATATAGTAAAAGAATCGATGGAACTAGATTCGAACAGATTTGAAGATGTTTCAGCGAAAGTAGATACTAAGATACTGGATGATGCTTCCATTGAACGCGTTCGCGGGAGACTATATGAAACTTCCCATGATTCAAGTATGGTGGAAAATCCTTCATTTGAGCTTAGCTGTGGGGCACTGGAAGTAATTACCCATGAGCTAGACTCCAACGCAATGGGGGATATTACAGTAGGACTTGATTCTAACATGGTAGATAATGCTTCAGTGGAGGTTGGCTGTGGGGTACCGAAGGAAGATTCAGTTAAAATTGAACTTGCTTCATTTGAACTTGACTCCGGAGCACTGAAAGAAGATTCACTTGAGCTAGTTTCTAGTTTTGAACTTGACTGTGGGGTACTGATAGACGTTTCCCGTGAGCTAGTAACTAATGAGATTGAAGATATTTCATCGGAACTAGATACCAAGACGCTAGACAATGCTCCCGCTGAACGTGTTTGCAGGGAACTATAAGACGCTTCACTTGAGCCAGATTCCAGCATTATTGGGGGTGTATCACTATCGGCAGAACTTGATTCAGGGACCACAGTAAATGCTTCATTTGAACTTGGCTGTAAGGTGCTGGAAGAAATTCCACTTGAGTCAGGTTCCAACATAAAGGAGGATATTAGAGCAGAACTTGATTCTAATCTGGTAGATAATTCGTCATTTGACCGTGGGGTATTGAAAGAGGTTTCACTTGAGCTAGTTTCTAACGGGCTTAAAGATGTTTCAGTGGAACTGGGTAATTCAGTTGAATGTGGTTGCAGGGTACTATCAGACGCTTTATTTGATCTAGATTCCAACATGAGGGAGGGTGTATCAGGAGAACTTGATTCTAACATGGTGGAAGATGCTTCATTCGAGCTTGAGCTAGCTTCGAACACGACGGGCGATGTATCAGCAGCACTTGACTCTAACACAGTGGAAAATTCTTCTTTCGAACTTGATTGGGGGATACCAAAAGTAGATTCACTTGAACTAAATTCAGACGGGCTTAAATATGTAGCAGTATAACTTGATTTGAGCATAGTGGAAGATGTTTCAGATAAATTCGGCTGTGGTGAACTATTTGGAGATTCACTAAAGGTAGTTGATGATCCGGTGGAACTGGATTTTATCATTTCGGGAGTTGTTTCGGGTGGATTTGGTAGTAATGTACTGACAAAAGATTCAGACACGATTAAGGATGCATCAGATTCACTAGAGCTGGATTCCAAAAAGCTTTCTAAGTTGGAACTGGGTTCTAACATTTTCGAGGATGTCTCTACTAGACTTAATAGTGACGTTCTGACAGACGATTCACTTGGCCTTGATTCCAACAGACCTGAAGATATATCAGTTGATCTTCGTTCTAGTTGAAGAGTACTAGAAGACGTTTCAGTTAAACTTGGACTCGGTTGTTGAGAACTGTGAGGTGATTCACTATAGCTAGATTCCAACAAGCTTTCTTCGTTGGAACTGGATTCTGACATTTTCGAAGATGTTTCTGCTAAACTTAATAGCGACGTTATGATAGAAGATTCACTTGATCTTGATTCCATCAGGCCTGGAGACATTTCAGTTGATCTTGATTCTAGTTGAAGAGCACTATGACTTGAAGAAATCTCGACTGAGCTTGGTTGTAGGGAACTTGAAGATGTCACCGTTGATGTGGTTATTAGGGTTGATGATGGAAATGTAGTTTCATCTGTGAAATATATAACACTAAATGTAATTTACGAATATATCGATAGACTAAGCAATGGACGTTTAACATGTTAATTGTAACTATTTAACCTAGAAGAATACAGAAGTACCAAAAATAAAAACGGTTAACTTGAACCATGGATTAAAATTACCTTTATTATAAATAATAGCCGTGGGTGGGATTGTTTCTTGTACTACGAGATTGCTACTCTCAGATTTTATTTCACTAATTAGAAATACCCCAATCGAGTAACTTGATCCGTCTTGTGTGTCCCCTTTTATTATGACTATAACCGTTACACCGAAAGCTTCAGCATTTCTTGTTGATGTTGTAAACAATCTGATATCCACAATGAGAGAACCATTTCTAGGAGAAAAAGAAATATTTCCAAATGACGTTTTCTGTAGTTCCAGTATTATATAACATTATTATTTTGGGCGAAACAAAATTTATAAAAAGCTTATTCTGTTGATTTCAAAGCTGCACATTTTAGATTTCTGTTATTTATTATTTCAATTTGTTTTACCAATAAACTATAACAATTGTTATCTTATTAAAATAACCCTGAGAATAATAAAAGCCCAGCCAGTAATATCATTTTTCCTAGCTTATTATGATGTCAAATAAAGCACGTATATTTTTGTATTTTGTGTTAGTTTTGTCAACAAAATTGTTTCATAAGTAAACCATAACCGTAACGTGCATATCTTTACGTTTGAATTGGTATTGTGTACTCTTTCAGTGACGATTTTTGGATGGAGTTTTGTGTTACAACATGTTAATATATGTTCATAATTGAAATTTATTCGTACAACGCTTTGGTCGGTGGGTAATTACTTCTACGATATTTCATGATTTGAGAACTGTTCAAACAAATGAAATAAACTTTTCATAATTCAAAATACTTTTAGCTCATTACTAGAAGATGGAGTTTATTAGCTATAGCCTGTTAACAAATGTTCATAATTGAAATATATGCGTATAGCTCTATGGATGGCGGGTACATACTTTCTTCAATATTTTATAATCTAAGAATTGTTAAAACCAATGAAATAATTTTTGTAGTGAGAATTTAAAATCTAAATACATTTAGGTTATTACTTTACTGAGTCAATTATACATGACGTGTCTTCGTTTACTTTTCTTTGGACCTGAAATAGAAATCAATTTATGCTGCATCAAGACTTCGGGCATACAATAATTAATTGACTGTGGTATTTGTGTGTATTTAATTTAATATAGACTTAGTTTAAATCATAATGTATTCATAGATTTATTAATGGGCACGTTGTTTAATACTTTTATTTACCAGTACAATACCAATGTGAGTATAAAATGTCTTCATGCAACGCATTTCTATATTTTTTTGTTCAATGCACAGTATAAGAACTTAACTGACCTGATTATTCTATTACTATGAATCCTGTCAATTTGAGCTTTTTAGTGACATTGTTAATAGGGGTGGGGTATGGCAAGCTTCCTAACAACTTGTGGAGGTTTTATGGGGGCCCACTCATGGTAGGCGTGTGTTGGCGATCTTAATCCGCCAGAAATAGGTGTACTTTTGGACAGGACACCAGTGTTGCAGACCGGTGTTCTGTTCTTTAGCTCACCCCCCCCCCCTTCCTCTCCCTCTCCCTCCTTCTCCCGTGGTGTGCTGACTATTTATTCTAGTAATCCAACCTGATAAAAATCTTATATCAATTTCATTTCTATTTCTGAAGTTGAACCACCAAAAACGAAACAAATTGTAGCATAATTTGAATTAGATTATCATGAAATCTAACGTACCGAAGAACATAATTCTTTCTGGAAAAGTTGAAATGACTCGGATGATTTATTTGATAATTCTTCTGTGTAATTACGATTTATAATCCGCATTGACAGCCTAGCTTGTACTAGAAATAAAATCAAATATCATAAAATGCACATTATCCACATTAGATCATTGTAAAATGCAGGTGTTAATTTCTTATCCGTTATATAGTCAAGTCTAATGGACGATTTCGGATATATTGAGTTACAGTAGCAAGAGAATCCGCCACAAGAACAGAATTTTAAAAAATAGGAATAGTGAATTTAAACCAGTAATCAAGTCTAACGGACGAATCCGGAATAACAACAGCAAGTGAACCTGCCACATTCCACAATATAAGTGCTGTCATCTCTTCACGAATGGGTCAATATACTGTATACCATAGTGAATTATTCAGTTCGGTATAGGACTATGATAAATGTGAAACATTTGATTCGCCTGTAAAGCTACCATTTCGTTTTCTATGAAATTTAAACATAATCCTCAACATAATACTCCTTGATATGGTAAAGATAGAAATACATCCGATTTTTATATTCTATAAAGTATACATCATTACCTGCTAAATCATTTCTTGGGGCTGAAAAAAAGTCATTTGAAGAATTAAAACATTATATTTATGTAATATTATCCAAGGTGATTTCGACAAAGGGGGTAAGTCTAGAACGCTGAATATCGTTGGTATTCGTCCTCTCGTGGCCAGATTCTTCACATCAAATTCGAAAAAGAACCGTCAAAAACTGTAGCCTCTACTGTGTTCACAAGCCAATTGTTGACATACGGAACAGGTTGTACATGAACTTGTTTGCCACCCCCATCCACCAATACCAGAGCTATGTCACTGTTTGGTAGATTTTGATATTTAGCCCACACAAGCTATGTTTAAAATATATTTAGATCTGATATTCTACAAGAACATATTAAACATACATGTACATTATGCAAGGGCTAAATCTGTCTATTACAGGTCTTTCTTTAGGCCTGAAATGTATTCTAAATTATTAATTAGACATTAATTAACTTATCCAGGCCATAATTAACTCTCGATGGCATCGGCTTTCTCCGATATTAAATAGATTAGAACAGTTCAGCCATATTTTGATTTAAGCTAAAAATGGTGGAGCGAGACTTATCTTCGATCAACCAGTACGGTGGTTGAAATTATTGCACACATCTTGTCAAACCTTCAAAGGCTAATATGTTCGCTCGCAATACAGTAATTTGAATGAAATTTTCAAATTATTCATTTTGCATTATCTTTTTTCGAACTATTATAGCAAGAATGGCTAGCTCTTCATCTAAATCTTAAATCATGTATCATTAATTAACTTACGGACAAAAATGACTTCTATAAGAACGGCGGATATTATACAAGCTAATAGTACCAACACGATGGCAATAGTCACTCCCACACAAACGTATCTTCTTCGTCGGTTAAATGCCTTTTCTTTTGTAATGGCGGATGCTTCACTTATATTGTCATAAAAATCACGTTCATCTGATAAATATAACTCATTTTGAAATGTGTTTTCTGGATTGGAAGACTGGATCGAATCGTTTGAAGAAAACAAATATCCATAATTGCGATGCCATCTTGTCTTTACCTGTAATGAAATGAAACTGTGGCATATATACCATGTTGAACATCTGGTGTCACTTCATTACTACAGAAAAAACAGTAATCTTATTGCATAAAATTGAGTCCTATTTTTTTTCCATTTCAATTATATATAATTTTATAATTTATTTCGAAACAAACGTAGACTTATTCTTGGTTTTTTTTGGGTTTTTTTTAAAGAAACGGTGATTCATTAGAGCAATAGGACCCCACTTATTCTGTTCCAGAATACTGGTATTTTAAAATAGATTCATAATATCCAGCTTTTACAAGAAATTTGAATGTGCTATTTTTTATTATTATTATTTTTATTATATATATATATATATATATTTGTATTTAGTAATGAAATTGGCAACTAATGATTATTGCCAATTTTGTATATTTGGTTCGTATGAGTTATCCATCTTGCACAAGATGTTTACGCCTTTCAGTTTCAGCATGTATTCTTTGCAAGAAATTCAATAGTTACAGGTGGTGATAAAAGCAATACTCGATAACATAGCCAATAATTTATAGGCTTAATGACGTTTAATAATAAATTCCAACAATCGTTTTAAAAAAGATAATAACTATAGTTCCTGTCAGGCTATACGCTCGTAGGTCACACTAAAAACACTATAAGTATGTGTATTCTACATAGTAATTTAGTGTGAAAAGCGTATATTTTATATTTTACCGTTACGTTATTTCAAAAAACAAATCCAAATAAAGTATCCTTCAAGCGGATTAAACAATTTGGGTGAATTAATACTTGATTCAGGGGCACGATTATTACTTTATAAGAGCTGAACCTTTTTGATTTGGGTCAAAATAAAATATTGAATTGATTTCATATCGTGTGTTAGTTCTGTTAATGATGGGGCAAGCTTCAAACTGTTAAATATCTGTTCCGAAAATTTACTAATCTTAGTTTCATTTTGAAAAAAAAACAATCCCGGTTATATTTCAACTCTGGTTTTATCAAGAAACATGTCACCCTAGAAAACAAATTAACATATTATACGCCCGTAAAAGCCGATGTTTTTTTTTTTTATTTTCTTGCTCTGTTTCTCCAGCTCAATATAGGGAGTGTCGTACATATTTGGGTACGTCATAAATAACGATAATCAGTTAAACTCATTTTAATATCAACCAGGAAGAACATGCTAAACATATTTCTATTCTGACAGCATATGTAGTCATGCTTGAAGTGGGTTTTAAATTATTGTGTTCATAACTAACGTTACTTTTCTGCTTTACTGGTCTGAGAGGTTTACGCGAAACTAGCTATTACAAAGATCCGGAATGCAGCTAACAGTTAATATCGATACGAAATGAAACAAATTTCATCGATTTACTATTTTTTTTTTCCCAATGTGTGGTCGCCAAATGGAAAGAACGGGGGTATTGATGACGACATCACTGGAACATTCTTAATAATTAGGGTTCGTCTTGAACGGGGTCACCTATATAAAAATGTTGATCCTAGTCACTGTGGTCATTATTTATCTTTAATAGAATAGAGAAACATATAGAACACCCCCTTTAACGACAGTTAAGATATAGGAGTGAAAATCGTTTGCGTCACGTCCTGTCATCTTTTTTAGGAAAGGTTACAGCAAAACCATTAATAACCCAGGCTTTCAACTATAATATTTGCTTCGAATCCTTAGATGACCCGAAAACTGCGGGACTACTGATAACTTGCTGGCAGTAATTATGATACAAAATTTGATTAGTGTCTATTGCATACATAGTTAGGTGTAAAATTTTAAATACTTCTTTGTATAACCGGAGTTGACATTCCGGATAAAAGAAATCATTTCTATTATGCAATGCTATCACACCAATTGTCTTCGTGACAGAAAAGCACCTTTATTCCATCCTCGGCGTATTGAAAATAAACGTGAAATATCTTATTTAACTCCATTCAATCAAACAGGAATTTTAACATATTGGACAAAAAATAACCTCTAGCTTGATTTGGTTACTGATTAATATAGAAACCAGAGCGTTTAATTTACTGAAATACGAAAGTTCAGCTGTCTTTCTAAAATAAGATCTACTTGAGAACAGACACGAGGCTAATTGCCCGACATTGTTATTTCTAAATCGACGATTTTAGTCAAAAAGACGAAGTATTTATTCTGCTTTTATATAATAAAATCGAGAATATGTATTTACTCTTTGTGTAAATGAAAGAGGTAAAACGGATTAGAACCAAAATACAAATTAGAATACTAATAAATTCTGGAATATTCAGGGTAGAGATATAATTATTATATTCTGTGTGTAGAATGATATACTGGTATAGAACTGCAATATTGAAACTTTGTTAAAGCTCTGAGTGTGTATATCGTGTATAATTATATACACTGAATTAAAGCTCTGAGCTTGTATAAAGTGTTTATTGGTATATAAACTGAATTAAAGCTCAGAGATTGAATGCAGAGTGCACTGATATGCGATTTAGCATTTTTGTTCTTTAAAAATCATGATTGACAGTATTCTCTTCCTGTACGGTTAAACAGCAATTCTAAGAAAAACTAATGTCTATAACTTTTAATCATAACTTTTAAAATAACCATTTCAAACTCTAAGAAGTAATCATTAGTTCTATTATAGGTCACTATGAATATATATGAGTATACTAAACAAATGCCTTGTAATGTTATTATATATGTTTATAGTAGTTCAAATTTTATTAGAAATTTTTTTAATAATCATTACAATCATATTTGTATAATATTGTACCTTAATATTAATAAATGGCCATTTTCAATTCATTCACTGTGCTGTTGTACTATACGTGCTTTGGTCAAACTGGGCTAGATACTGTGTTGTCATAAATACCAGAATAATTTATAGTGTGATTTAACGTATATTTTATCGCTTTACCTTCACGTACTATTATGACGATTAGCCTTCCAAGAAAATAAAATTCAGATAAAGTATCATTCCAGCGGATTACAAAAATACTTGCTTCGGGGGAATTATCCTTTCTTTTTAAATAGCTCAATCTCATTGATTAGGGTCAAAATATAGAATAATGTATCAAACACTAAGTCAAATTTCTTTTAATTTAACCCCCAAAATAGTCAATATGAGAAATTTCTAATCGTTGAAAGATACAACTAGTAGAGCAGGCTGATGTGCGTGGAAAGTTAAATTAACATATCTTGAACGGTTTATGCTCGGAAAACATAAACTTTGTAATGTGTGGGATAATCATAAAGTATATCATTTCAACGACTTAAAGATACATTATCGGAGATTAGATAAAGAGCTGGCAGTTCTCAGTATAATAGTTAAAAACTAGATAATGTAAATGGAATTTGCTTAAAATTTCAGTCAAATTGATCCACTCTGAACCGAGAATTTAACTTGATTTCTAGAATACCATTCCTCTGATTTCTCATATAAGATTTTTCTTTTGATTTCATAGTGAAAACTACATGTATTAGAATATTGGTCTTTTGATTTCTCATTGATAATGTTTCGAATTTTGTTGCACGAAGTAAGTACGTGTTATGTACGTTTACTCAAATATTAAGGTTTTATTATGTAACAAAAACTGTGAACTTTGAACTGTCGTGTTATGCCTGTAGCAAAACACTTATGAAAATTGATATGCCAGTGTACTTTATAATCCGCGTTCAATTGCCGTCATATTATGGGCACGTACAAATTATTGCTTTTGATTTGCTGTACAAGTCGGTCCCATGTTTATTTTTAAATAGGCGGTTTATTTGCAAATCATATAACTTGTGACGATATTGAAAGTGGGCAACAATTAAACATTCCGAATTTAAAGATCAATTTTCTCCTTTTCTATGGAAAATAATCGTTTAATTTTATACAAAATTATCATATTTAAAATAAAATTCATTATAGTAATCTTTGTTATTTACAACGCTATTTACAACAATATGCTAATTTCGTTGATGTCATTGCAGATTCTATTACAGTCCTCGTTAGGTTAGGTTACACGATGATCATGACAAGTATTACACGGTGATCATGACAGCTATTACAAGATTATCATAACAGGTATTCCAAGATCATCATGACAGGTATTACTAGATGACCATGGCAGATATTACTAGATCATATTGCCAGAGATTACTAGATCATCGTACCAGGTTTTACCATATGACCAGGACGGATATTACATGAACATCATGACAGATCTTACTATATAATCATCATGACGGGCATTAAATAAATACGTATCAGGCGCAGGGCTGGGACCATTACATTATCAATATAATTAATTACATTATCATTACTATTTAAATGTAATCATTACAATTATTTTCTCATTTTAGCAATGCAATTCCTTATCATTACCCATTATATTGAAAGTAATTAATTACCCTTACCCATTACTTTATGGCCATATAAATAAAAAACATTTTACCAACTTTAAAAAATAGCCTTATATTTCTGAGATGAAGTAGCTATGAAAGCTCGCTATAATATATTTAACTTTTTTCTGTAAGAATTATTACTTCTATCAAATATCACACTAGAGCAAAAGTAAATTTTCACGTATGGTGCAGTGCTTGGCAAAAACTATTGTATGATGAGATACTTGAATGCAATTGTTTGGTTTGCCACTTGTCACCTTGAGATTAACCTGTAATAGGACTATCTAATTGCCCTTAAATCATACTTATTGATTGAATGATTGAATGATTATTAGCTCTAATTTGCACGTTTACATCTGTTCAGGAATCGTCATGGCTTACGCTTTAAAGTCTGAAAAGGGTCCATAAATCAAAAGTAATAAAATTTAATAGTTATGTTTTCCACCTGTTTTTGTTTGTTTTGTTTTGTTGGGTTTTTTCCGGGGGGGGGGAGGGGTAGACTGATTTAAAATATTTTTCTAAAATTCCAATATTTTGGATTTGTGTAAGATATTATTAATTGACTTCTCTGATGATCAAATTTGAGGCTTGTCATAGTTGGAAATAATGATATGTGCCATATATAATATGTAATTGAAAAGTAATTGACCATTACATGATTTTTGGAATGTAATTACATTTCCATTACTCATTACTTTTGAAATGTAATTAATTACATTTCCATTACTCATTATTTTTTAAAATCTTCCATTACTCATTACATGACCATTATTTAAAAAAAGTAATGGTTACATTCCATTACCAGTTCCCCAACCTTCGTAAGGTGACAGCTAGAATTACAATCATTTAAGGGTAGGGTTACATATCATAAAGTACACGATATATAGTTTAGATTATATAATATTGGGATACGATTAATATGACATAGTATATTGATTATATACCCCCTAGAAATAGTGTAAAGATATCTTGAAGGGCATGTATTGAAATTGTCTCTGGTTTACACATAATTAGATTTAATGAGAAAAAAGACTGCATGGGTCCACAAAGAAAAGGGTGGTTCGGCGAATAAAAGATAGCTAATTAAAATTCAATATGAAATTCTTGGTATTCATACAATGAATTTCAGTTGCTTATATCAGAGCCGCAGTAATAGGAATGGCGATCAGCTTGCTATGGGTCGGTGTACCACATTTGTAATCAGAATGGCTACTAAGATTGTCCATGTTATGGTTTAACAAAGATTTATGTAAAAATGGTGGCACGCACTCTATTTTTTATTCCTAACGAAAACATTTTCTCCAAGTAATTGTAATCAAATTCAATTTGATTGGTAAACGCAAACTCTTTGAATAAAAGCTACAACATACTCTCTACATACATTTTGTCTGCGATATCACCCTCGGTGAATGCAGACGTTAAATCACTAGCTGTTTTTATTCTACTTACATTATTCCATTGCTCTGTAAAATTCCGATGTGTAGTTCCAAAAAACGTGTTCGTCCACGTCGGAATAACATCACTGTCAAAATCCTTTCCACTATCGAAATCGTCCAAATTTTTCCTCAAGAATGTTTCATCCGAATTTAACACAGGACGATTTGTCGTCATTTTAACAATAACTAATTATTAATTGTTTACATTAATGTCTTCTCGAACTTACACGCTGTGAATTTTGGGACATATTACGACATTTTGTTTAAAAAAAATCACAGCATTTTCGTGTCTTAAAACTGCAACATGCCATCTATTTACCTACATCGCAATAATTGTAAGGCGGATATAATATACATATTAATTGTTGAAAACGAAACCATCATATATCTCCGCCCATATCCCAAGCTCTTACATATTACCTCGCTACCTTAAACTTATTATATATATATCTTATATATCATTCAAGCAACAATTTATACCAGGATGTTAAAGGGGCGCTGTTTTGTATGTTAAACAAAAAAAACAAAAGAATGATTTGAATGGATATCGTGTATGCAATAATAAAGTAAAGATATGCGTTTAAGCCTCTGGGTCTATCACGCTTAAAGTCATGTATTAAATCGCCCTTTTATGTACGAGCTGTTTTTTATATGTGGATGATATGACAAACACTCTACTTACTTACTTAATATCCAATTACTCAGAAATTTGAAGAAACCACAAATAAAAAATCGAATACACATGTGCCCGGGTTTTCAATCTTAATTTGTGTAGAATTCCACGAACCGTTTTGAAATTATTGTGAAGAAAATCCCATTGACCGTTGTGGTGGTTGGGCAAGAGACTCACTGCGATTTCTTCAGTCTCGGAGACTTTGCGCTGTATCGATACTTTTCAAAAATATATCAGAGATTTAGTGATGTTTCTAATGCTAGGTTTCCACTATTGCGATCGCGCTACGATTGAAATCGTGGTTTTAATCGTGGAATAATCGTCGTGGTCCTATCAGGTCTTATATTGAGGTCAGTTGTAACAATCGTGTTGATTGTATCGAAACGTATCCGAACGTATCTGCAGTTGCCAGATCGTGAACTCACTCGGGACAATCCTATTGTAACGCTTCGCACGACAGTGGGAACACAGCATTACAAATTTTGGGAAGAAATCAACACTTAATATCTAGGGTAGATCTATAAAATATTTGATTTACTAGTGGGCCAAATACTATTTGAAACATTGTCCAACATCACAACAATGACTACATGTGGGCGAATTTATAAAACTTTATGAAACAAACTAAGAATATATCATTAGCATTTTTACGAAGTAGCTTGTTTAAAGGGAAATTAATGGAGATTAGAACAGCTGGCAGTTCTCACTATAATAGTTAAAAGCTAGATAATGTAAAGAGAATTTGCTGAAAATTTCAGTCAAATTGATCCACTCTGAACCGAGAACTTAGCGATTGAATTTTAGGCCTGACCTTGATCATCATTACTAAAGTCGGTACGATAAAAAACATAGTCTCGATTATCCATTTTTAGATTTAATCATCAATGCGCACTGAGCAACAGATCAGATTCAAATTCAGTAAATATCGCAGGCTAGCGATGCCACCGAGAGTTGACTATGGTCTGGATAAGTTAATTAATGATAATTTTTAATTTAGATATCATTTCAGGTCTAAAGAAGGAACTGCAATAGACAGATTTAGCTCTTGCATAATGTATGTTTAAGTGCTTCAACGTGGAAGGTATCAATGAAGCATAAATCTACGATGACTTGTGATCATCCAGACAACATAGAAGTAACACACGAAGAACTTGGCCCTGTTTCTCGAAATCTTAACTAAAGATCAATTCTAAATTTTAGTAGATACTTCAATTTTGTTTGGCTAAGCACTAAAATCAATCTAATATTATCCAATCAAATTACTAAATTTGAATTTTATCTTAGTTAAAATATCGTGAAACTGGCCCCTGAACCCCAAAAGACCCGTGTTTATTACGATGACTCTAGGGCCAACAATTTTATAAAGATAAAATTAATCTTCTGGCTTTTTTTAAGATGCAGAAATATGATTTTGTTACTTCGGCTGCATTAAAATTTCAATAATTTTAAACTGCAGTGTAGATTCATTCACTGATTATCTATCATATCAAGTCACTTGCTATTTATTTCACCGATTGTTTACAGTTATCAATAAAACAGTTTAAAAGTCAAACCTTAAACTATTTTAAGTACATTTCTTTAAAATGAAATATGAATTCACTATCTTTTTTAAAATTCATTTACGTCAAAGCTATAGTCGAGGGTATTAAATAATGGTTTGCATCTCATTAAATATAAACCTTAATGTTTGAAAATAGACAATGCCACACGTTGAATAGAAAAAGCGGAACAAGTATCTTGGTGTCGAATCGTGTTCAAGGTGCATATAATTATATATATAAAAACATTCTTGCATATATTTATAATAAATGAGGAGGGTTGTTTTGACCACGTACTATTAATATCAGAGGCGGATCCCCACACTCAGCTATATAAAATAAATGTAAAAGAACACTTTTTATAAGAAAAGTATCACGGTCGTGTGCTTTATCCTTTATAATCAGATGATGAGATGGGATGGGCATGTCTTGCATCAATGAAATTGAACCAGAATGTGATCCTGTTAATTCACAATTAAAAATTGATGTCAAACGGGGTGTTGGATCCCTCTCTTTAAAAAGGTCAGTGTGTAGGTATGCCTATGAAATAAGTAGACTGTCAAATTTCCTGAACAGGAACCTGCCCCCCCCCCCCTTTGTGCAAAAATTCCTAGATCTGCACCTGAATATGTTCCTCAATATGATAGATGTTCTTGTCTCTCGCAAATTATTTTAACCATTAGACGTGTAACCATCGACAGGTGATTTAGCAAATTTTGTTTTCTGTGGTGTTGTATGTTAGTCACTAAGATTGACAGATGACAACACGTGTACAGATCCAATTTTGGGAATACGGCAATCAGCGTATTGTCATTTATCCCGAGGAGCCACACTTCCTTTCCATTCTTCACGGCGACGACGATTCTGCTCGGCGAACCATTTGCCCGATCAATCGCTCGTATCTAGCATGTTAAGTGGGGGGACAGACGAGCGTATTTTTTCGCCCGATCGCACCGATTTTTAAAATCGCTCGAAAAAATCGCCAGTGTGGACCTTCACGGCGACGACGATTCTGCTCGGTCAACCATTCGCATGATCAATCGCTCGTATCTAGCTTGTTAGATATTTTCGGCCGAATATTTTTCGCCGACGATCAAATTAGCTCGTGCGCCCATGCCCAGCGTATATTGTCGTGCGAACAATTTTGTTAAGCCAATCGGAGACATGATTGATATCACATGATCTCAAAATGTCTGCCTCCATTGCCGAAGCGTGGAATCTAACTCCTGTACCACAAGTTTCGATTTGTTCCACGAGCCCTTCTAAGTATTTTCCGTTTTATTGTTAGCAAATAGATATCAAGCTACAACAGCAGTCTTACGATTTCGACGATTCGCCATTTAGAACAAGTAACACGATCGACGCAAATTTACTCTAGACGATCGCTACGTGCGCCCGTTCGTGATCGGCCGTAAAAAATCGCTGGCGAATTCTAATCGGCGCGATCAAGCGAAAATATACGCTCGTCTACCCCTTGCATAGGCAGCTGTCAGTCTTTTCCCGTTACGAGTAAAACTAACTGTACCGCGATTAAAAAAAGTGTACAGAGCTTTCCACTTCTGATTTACATAATATTCAGGCAAATATAATTCAACACTTATTACTTTGCACTGTTCCTTTAAAGTACGTATCCATGCAATGATTATAAAGTATAATGTTCTAGGCAAGTCATACATGGGGAAAATAAAACATTGCTCTAATAAAATGCAATAAATCAGAACTAAAATTAAAGGGACAAGAAGGCAAAGCAAAAACAGTTTAAATGGACATGCTCACTCCCACCATGCCATGAGAAGAAAAATATAATTACCTAATTACTGAAAATGCAAACATCGACCTGCTTATTAGAGAAAAGTGTTTTGCGCGTTCGTTAAGTTGTTTGAAACCGATAAAAAAATATGTACTATTCTTATATTGGCAGTTAATATACCAATTGAAATATCAGCGAGTTGTCTAACATTTTCCATGCAATCTCATTTGAACCCGCAATGTGTAACGTCAAATAACGTCTCGTCGAAATTTAATTGCTTACCAACTCTAAGACCCCCAAAGCGGTAAGAAGAAACACAATAAAAATTACCCTCTCCGAAATATATACTTGTCAAATATTATTACAGACAATATAGAGTCATGGTCAGTTTAAGTTGAAATTAGTTACAAATGACTTAAAAGCATCTTTATTCGTTTGTAGTGTTTTGAAAGACATGTTATGTATTCGCAAACATCGAGGCTGACTTTATCTAACATGTATATTTTGGTTTTAAAGGGCACATACCTCTATTCTTTGGAATCCTTAAATGGATCTAAAAACACTTATTAAACATACATTATGCAAGAGCTAAATCTGCCTATGGCAGGTCTTTCTCTGGGCCTGAAATGTTATATAAACTATTAATTAGACATTTATTAACAAAACCAGACCATAATCAACTCTCGATGGCATCGGATACTCGAGATTTTAACTAGATTAGAACGGTCCGCCATTTAAAAAAAATAATTTAAAAATGGCAAAGCGAGACTGTCTCGAATATACCAGTGCCCTGGTTACCACAATGCACACATCTTGTCAAAACTATACAAACAGTGATAACATGGCTCAGAATGAAGTAATTTGAATGAAATTTTCAATATTTTCATCATAATACTACAAAAACATAATATGGAACACAATTACTATTTTATTTAAAGCGACGTTTCGTTGATGATTCTCTCAACGTTTTCAAGCAAATGATGATGAAAATATGTTGTTAGTTAGTTGTATTTTTACGTCCGCTTCCACCGAGGTGATATCGCAGACAAGATAATGAAAATAATGTACAGAGGGTTTATATACAAAAACAAGTAACAACTAATTAATCTAATCAATAGGGAAACCATTTAACATATTAAATCAATGGTTTCCCTAAATACTTGTTTTTGTATATAAACCCTCTGTACATTATTTTCATTATCATTTGCTTGAAAACGCCTTAACGAAACGCCGCTTTAAATAAAATAGTAATTGTGTTCCATATTATGTTTTTGTATTACGTATGTCAATTGCTAAATGCCACTCAAAGAAGATTTTCATTTTACATTATCTATTTTTGAGCTATTATAGCAAGAATGGTGAGCCCTTTATCTAAATCGTACATAATGTATCTTTAACGTAATATGAATGTATATAATGTGATTTTTATT